AAAAAAAAAAAAAAAAAAAAGATATAGTTTGTCAAACAACGTATACACCAGGAAAACAAAAACTTGTATAAATATTTTAATATTAAATTTATTGAGACATCATGATAATAATACAAGTTACCCTTGGCTTCTACAATTTCAAGAGGTGGTCAAAGTGGTGGGCATTAGTTTCCAGACATTTATTAGTATGGCGTAATGCTGAAGTGTGTGTATATATATTTTTTGGTGGATTCTATAGTTTAAAAAATTTCTAAGAATTTAAGAGCCGGGTGAGATGCCTTTTTTTTTGAGACAGGGTTTCACCATGTATTTCAGACTGGCCTTGAACTCAGTATGTGGCCCAGGCTGACCTTGAATTCACTCACAAAAAATTCCTCCTGCCCGCAACTCCTAAGTGCGGAATTACAATTGTGTGCCCAGCAGTCTCCAGCAATTAAAAAAAAAAAAAAAGTAAAATGATTAACACTAACTTTGGGTAGTCTTTTTCTTTTCTGACTTTCAGCAGCATTCCAGTGGATATATATTCAGTGCTGATTTCAATTTTGTTGTTATGTTAACTCCATATTGAATTAAATAATATAGTTTCAAGGAGTTATCAAGTAATATACCGACATTAAAGGACTCCTCGCTGGCAATGGTACATAGAATTCCTAATTTTTAAACTGTATTTCATCGACTCTCAGATGCCATTATTGTGTCCTGTGTCCTGAAGCTACATCTTTCCACTAGTGGTGATTTAATTTCGGCCAAACACAACATCTACTACAAAAAGTTAATTTGAATTTAATTTGTAGTTCTGTGTTTAATTTGTAAATCTCCTTTGGTATTAGAATTGCATAACAGCTATAAAAATAAGGAGTTTATGCCTGGTTTTCTATTCAAATATACTCAGATAACAATAAAAATCATTTAAGTAACACTAGAAATCTACGAAGGATTTCCTGTTTTAGAAGAGGTTATATAATCACCTGAGAAAATTTGTGCTAGTTCTTTTAACATTACATTGTTCAGTTATGCTGTGACTCTAAAATAGTTTACTTGCTATTTATGTACACACCTGATATTTCAAAACCATTTATAAAGCTCCCTCCCAATAAATTTGATCTCCTGCTAACCTGCCCTATTTTCTGTATGTAGTAAACATTTTTTTCTCTTTTCAGAATATGAAATCTGTAATCTGATTCTGAAGGAGTTCACAACTTGTAGGAATATCAAGTCCATGACTAATTCTAACAGTTCTTCCAACTGTAGATTCCTCTAACCATATATCCTTTACAACTGTTTAATTGTAAAGTTTTTAAGAGAATGAGAACATGAAAGTTTTGATATATTTTTTTCAAATTATAAAACTGAGCATCAACTTACTATTAATAGCTTTGAAGTCAGAAGTAGCTTATTTGAAAGAGGCAATTAGAAATAATCAAAGCATATTTTATTTGTAATTGGGCCAATTAACTCAATAAGGTTGTCATTTTTGCCTAATTTAGGGTGGATGAAAAGAACGTGTTTTATTATTTTTCAAAAACTAATAATTACAACCATAAACATATAGATTTAGCAACAATCCCTGTGGGGTTTCTGCTCCTTACTCTTTTTTCAGCAATATAAGCAATCATTACATGATTATACACTTTTGTTTTTGTACTTCAGAAAATTAAGTAGCAATTTTTAAAAATCCTCCGAATTTCTGATATTTAGCAGGTGTTGCTTCAAAATACTATCACACGGGCTGGGGATTTAGCTCAGTGGTGCCGCCACCTGTCTTGCAAGCGCAAGGTCCTGAGTTTGATAAAATATTGTCACACACAAAAAACACCAAAAAACAAACAAACAAGAAACAACAACAAAATATTGTGCCACAGTTGGGGGAAAGGCAGGCAACAGAATGAAAAAAAAAAGTTATTTTGTAAGTGGAATATACTGTACCATATTAATGGTGTCACTTTTATGAAGCGCAGGCAAACCTTTACCTTTTACTTTAGTAATGTGGAACACTATTAACACATCAATTCTAGAAGTTTTGATCTTTAGCTCTCACAATGTACAAGGAAGGCTGTTTTTGGAACAGCATTATTTTCGCTGTGGTTAAAATCAGGCATTTAACTCTAACAGAACCCTTCTTCCAAGGACTCCTAATCTGTTCACTTGTATCATTAACTGGGATAGGAACAGGGTGCACGGAGGTGTAAGGAAGTACATGAATGATTCTAAAGTTCAACTAATGAATCGTTTGATTCCTCATATTCTCCTCTTAGGCCAAACTCGGGGGGGGGAGCGTATTTCCGGGTGTTCGTAAGCCAGGTACAGAGCAGTGGCGGCTGAGACACCTGTGAAGAGGCGTGGCCCCTACTCCCGGCTCCTCTGAGACCCCAGTGGCGCCTGCGCAGAACGGACAGAGGCCTTTGATTAACCGCGGGGGCGGGGGAGAGGGAGGTGAGGAGACAGTCGGAGTTCTTCCGCCCGAGCCGGATTAACCAGCGCCTGCGTGGAATGGAAATTTGTCAGTGACGCTCCGCTGCTGCCCGTGGAGCCTGGGGCAACCGAATGTGGTGGAGTCCGTTGCAAAACGAGTCCAGTGGTCGAGTCGGAAGATTTGCCAGGCTAGCTGAGGTTTAGGCTAACTTCAAAGCTTTCTAGCACAAGGTCATGATGAAATATCGGGAACAAGTTCCATATTTTTCTGTGACGGCCCGTGCTCGACCCAGGTCCTAGTGATCTAGGAGGTCAACAGTTTCCCAAGCTCCCCGAAAGACTTCAGGAACACAGCCCACTTGTTGTGAAGAGGCTCCCAGCATGCTTCGCGACGGCCGGAGCCCTCAAGGCTGCGAGCCTGGATTCCGCTAGGAAGCCTCTTACCCAACGTGCCTCGGGCGCTCATTTGCATATATTAGCCTATAAATTCAGAGCGGCTGGGTGCAGTCTGGCAGTAAGAGTACCAAACGGTAACAGTACCAAATATGTGAGCCTTGCGATTTCTTTGCATTGTATAGAACTACTTTAAATGTTCCAGGGTGGATAGGATCACAAAAAGAATGCTCACCCTAACTGTTAAGTGTAAAATGTTTTTGTACCTTATAAATACTGCGTGCAGCATAGCAGTTGTGCTCGCTTCGGCAGCACATATACTAAAATTGGAACGATACAGAGAAGATTAGCATGGCCCCTGCGCAAGGATGACACGCAAATTCGTGAAGCGTTCCATATTTTTTGCAGTTTTGAGAATTTTCAGACTTGCTTCAAAGTAAAATGGAGAGTGTGTGAAACTGCTTTTCACTTCGGAGATATTTATGTCAGGCAATCGAAATGAAAACGGATCTGAGTTACACGTGAAATACTGTGTATTGAATATCGTTAGTACGTACCTCGGGAGTGACAAAATTCCGAAAATGAGTTAAGGTCTTGTTTCTCCCAACAACACAAATTCGAGAGGCCCAGCCAGTGCGGCTATTTTCCTTTTTAATCGAAAGACTCACTGCCATATGAATTGCTTGATATCTTTAGTAAATCACGGTTAAATTAGTAACTCATTACCAAAGGAAGCAACATTCGCGCTCACTTCTTGCGGATATTTTGTGATATTCGCCGTCCTTTTAGATCTAAGTGCGCGCACCCTCTTTCACTCAGATTGAGAGCTGTACAAAGGCAAAGACTGTTAAGGACTGGTGCTGATGCCTATGGATTGCTTCTAGAGCTTCAGGACCAACAGAATTCTAGCTAAAAGCACCTACAAGATTTAAGATCTGTTTTATCAAGTCTTTTCATGTAGTCTCTGAGGAGTGCTCAGAAATACCGGTTTCTATAAATTGGGTGGATTATGTGATGGGAGATTTGATAAGGAGAAAAGTTAAACACATGTTTAAATTTTGTAAATGGAAATAAGCATTCAGATCCCGACACAAGGAATACTAAGACTTCTAAAAGTAGTAGTAACTGCGATGGCAATGCCAGTTTGTACAAGCAAGGACGCAGCCTGGGGCCCAGACGAGGTGGCGGCACACACAGCAATGAATGTGTCCGCAATACCAGTGAGGAAAGCCAAAAGAACTCAGATCCAAAGCAGATCATGACGCTGCACCCATTTACAAAGCATAATTGTCAGGTAGATCATTTTTATGAGTCGAAAAAAATATAGAACGCTTCACGAATTTGCGTGTTATCCTTGCGCAGGTGCCATAGCTAATCTCTGTATCGTTACAATTTTAGTGTATGTGCTGCCAAAACGAGCATAGCTCCTCCTTTGCACCCAGCTTATATAAGGAATAGAAGCTCTCATTTCTTTTAGTTAGGGTGACAAAACCAAATGTAGTTCCAACCATCTCAGAACATTTGGGAAAGTTTAACGCACTGGAGCCAAACTACTATGTTCGTTATTTGCAAGTTTGTTACTCTAACTACGAGGCAGTAACTGCTCTAGGTTGACCTGTCAGAATTACCTATAGGGTGGGGACATGTAAATGAGCGTCCGGGGCTCTTTGGGTAAGTGGTCTTCTCTCTGGTCCGGTTCTGACCAGCGCGTTCTCAGGCTTTCCGCTCTTCGCCCGCGGTGCATGCCGGGACCGCGCGCGGTGTCGTCGAAGGGGAAGTCTCTCTGTCAGTTGGCTGTTGTGGCGCGTGTTGCCCTGGGGGAAGAGACGCCTTTACAGCCTGTCATTTCACCACTTAACCTTCCTTTCATAAGTATATTAAAAAGAAAAAGAAAAAAAAAAAAGGAAAGAATTACCGAACATTTTCATACTTAGAGAAGATAAGGTAATTTCTTAATATCTTTAAATATGTATCCAGTTCACGTTCACATTTCCTTGTCTAAGATGTCATTTTATAGTTGAATTGACATAAGACCCAGACTAGGTCCCATACTGTGTTTGGGTCTCTGTTGTCCTCTAAAGTTCCCCATTCCGTTTCTCTTCGCAACGTTGATTTGTGGAGGAAATGGGATAGTGGCCCTGTGGAATCACTTGGATTTGACTCATTTCTTAGGATGTTTATCCACGTATTTCTTGAAAATTCATAGTTTGATACAAAGGTTAATTAGATCCTGGTTCAATTTATTTGCTTGTATGCATGGGTTGTTGGTTGGACTTCTCCCTCCTATTGTGCCTCAATGGAAAATAATGTCTGGCTGTCCTGGTGTTAGTGATAGCCAGCCTTGGCCTACCATTATGCATGGGATCAGCAACTTGTCCCTTCCCTTTAACTTTGCATGCATTTTTCACTTTACTATTTTAGAATATTGTGATGAACTTTGTTCAGGTAAAGGGTCTAGTGGTTGACTGGTTTGTTTGTTAGTGTTTATTTAACCTTTGGCTCCTGCGTTATAAGGATGTATAACCCCAAAGCCTCTGATAGCCAAGTTCTATGTTCTGTAGAAGAGAACTGAGAAAATGAGACCAGGTAAAGAAATAAAAAGGCTGTTGATATTGTCTGTATCATTTGACCTTGTGCCCAAGTGCTTTGGCTGGTATAGTTGCTTGACCTAACCTTTTCCTTTCTTAGGCTAGTTGAAGTTGTGTGCCTGTTTCCTCTCTGCTCAGAGGCTTCTCTGCTTAATGCTGTTCCTTAGTGCTGGGTATCTACAACACACCTCTCCCACACTACTATTTTTAGTTATGTGTTTTTTCTGTAGTGGGTAAGCAGAAATAGATTGTCTTCCCATCTGTACTCTTCTTGGCTTGAAAGTAGGCTGGTGTTTCTTTTCTGGATATATTTTGTATGTTGTTTTCTGTCAGCTGTACACGTAGGAAGGCTCAGTCAGTAGGCCAGTGCTTGAGGGGATTTCAGATTTAACATCTTGGATTTATTTCCTTACTGTGTTCTCCCATTTTTGTTACACAGTTGTCTTTTTTTCCGCCCAAACTCTTGTCCTCCCCAATAGTTTTTTTCCTTTTATCTCTTCCTTCCCCATTCTGTGCCTACCTCCATCTACATTCCATACATCACTAACTGAACACATTTACCCAGTTCATTTTTTGCTGTTATTATCATACTTCACATGCTTGCAACATTAAAACACTACTGGCTTCAGCTGGACCCAGAAATATTTAAGAACTTACGTTTGTGTTTTGAAAAAACAATTCTTGCTCTTATCATCCTTGGCTAAATATTTATATATTTCCAATTACTGTTTTAGAGGGAAATAGTATTCTTTAATCACATCTTTTGGAAGTCATATAGAAAAGTTATGGGGTAGGTAGCTTTTAGTTAAATAATCTTTTGTATGCTTAGTTAAGATTTTACTCATTTGAAGCTGGACATGGTGATACATGCCTGTAATCCCAGCACTTGGGAGGCTGAAGCAGGAGGATTGCTGTGAGTTGAGACCAGCTTGGGCTACATAGTGATTTCCAGGTCAGTCTCAACCGCATAGTGAGACCCTGTCTCAAAAACAAAAAGGATTTTACTTATTTGAGAAGATGTCTTAATAGGCATTATTAAATTTGCTTTAGGAGAGATTTATTTATTTGAGGCAGAGCCTGGCTTTGTAGTGTAGGTTGGTCTGGAGTTCACTATGTAGCTCCAGCTGGCCTCGAACTCACAGTGAACCTCCTGCCTCAGCCTCCTGAGGGTTGGGATTACAAGTGTGTGCTACCATGCTCAGTTTAAGAAAGATTTATTAAAAGGATCTTTATCAGTATATCAAGTTTTTTTTTTTTTCCCTGGGACTGGGTCTCATTGTGTAGTTCAGTCCGGCCTTGGTTTTGAATTAACTATAGCCCAGACTGGCCTTGAACTCACAATGATACTCCTGCCTCTGCCTCACAAGTGCTGGGATTATAGGCATGCACCACTATGCCCAACATCATCCAAGTTTTTAATAAGAAAAAAGCTTTATGTTCTGGAATATTTGGACTCTGGTACCAATAAACATTGTTATAATACTTCCAGCAAATCAGTTATCTTTTCTTGGCGCATTATAAAACAATGGTACATCTTAAAAATCAATAGCATTTTATATCCAAAGAAATGTATCTTATTTTTCAGAGAAGAAAAATGAGGCTGGGTTACATGTAGTGACTTTCCTGGGAACTGGTCATATTGTCCTCAGAGAAAAAATAAACCTGAATTTTACAGTAACATTTGTGAGTTCAAACTTGATTGTCAGCAACAAGACAGCACACATCAATAATAGAAGGTCTACCTTGTTCTTTTTATTCACAAAAAAGCATTCTGTGGTGTAACATAATTGAAAGTCTAAAACCACAAGTCATTTCCTCTTCAGGAGTTTTGCTCTCATTGAGAAGAAACGCATCTCAAATCCACATCCTCTTTAGCAGGGTATATTTGAATCACTTAAAACCAAAGCACCAATGAGCAGCTTAAACTGTTGTGAAACTGGTGAACTCAAGCTGGGGAACAGAGGTGATCAACCTAGGCTTCAAGCTGTAAACACCTCGAGAGCTTTTCAAAATAGAGAGCTAGGACGTGAGCTCTCCCGTGGAGATTCTGATGGTTCTGACTGGGGCTTGTGTGTCTGTGAGATCTTTGTATATTTTTTCCTCTTTTCTCCTTTTTTCTCTTGCTTCCTCTTTCCCTTTTCTGTGAGCAGTCATCCTTTTTAAGATTTGCAGCCTTCTTTCTTCCCTCTCTGTTTTCTTTTCCATCAGATACCCTTGCATACTGAGTGAAACTTGTCTTGAATTATTGACGAGGCCCTTTCCTTTGCTACTCTTGCTGATTTATGGCCAAAGTGCCACTCTTCAGGATGCACCCAATGGCTCCCCGTGACTCCTCTTTAATGTCCCATCTAGAAAGAACTACAAGGAGGCGTAAAAACTCATCAATCTAGGTTTTATTTCTCCATGGCTCTGGTAGGTAACCCTATAAACTAAAATATGCTAGAGCAGTGTTTCTGAAACTTGCCTAGAGATATATTCTCAGACCCTAGTTTTTAGAGATTCCAGAGAATTGGCCTATTCTGGTCATCAAAGGATGATATGGAATATCATGCTGTCTGTGTTTTAACAGATACTTTTCATGAAACAAAATCACTCTCCTTAGGCTGGTATGATTTATGTGTGTGGAGCCCTTTCACCACTTCCCTTAATTTTTAGCAGATAATCTTATGTTCTGTTTCACTGAAGGAGTAAAAAAAGATTGTCAAGAATGAACTTCCTTAATTTATTGTAATTATTTTGAATTTATCTATATATCCTCATCCTGGTTTCCCCTCTTTTTGTCTCAGGGGAGAGGTGTCGCTTCTATGGAGAAAAGTTGTACCGGGTGTAAGACTTCATCTGGAATTTGGTATCTGATTCTAGTTCTATAGAAGCTATCTTGCTACTCTATGAATTTAAAATGACTGATAATAGTACAAAATAATTTTTGTATATAGACATATAAATTATGTCCTAAGCAGTAGGGGCTTAATTGATTCTATCTGTCTACAAGAAGCTAGTTTGTTTCCATTTGCATACTGATTTCAGAACACCTTTATTCTATATAAATTTATGCTTTTGTGATTTTGCCTTTGAACTGATTATAACATCAATGATTTTTTCATTGAATAATACATTAAAGTCTTTGTTACATATTCCTGTATGAAGAGATAGAATTTTACTTCTTTTTTTTAACTTATTGAAACTTTTATTTTTAAATAATCTCAAACCTTTACAGAAAAGTTGCAAAAATTGAAAACAGATAAATTGTGCCCTGTTTACCTATTTCCCTCTCTTTTTTTAAAATTGAGTTTATTGGTACAATCTAGGTATACAATACAGTTACATTCATCATTGGGATCCTGTACCTTTACATAATAGGTCTTGCTTCTCATTTTTTCCCCTTTTCCCTGCCCTCCCTTCACCCCCTCCTCCCCTCCCCATTTACAAACACTTGATTTCCATTTTTTCAGTTTCTCATATTTTTTTCCTCTCCCTTATTACCTTTCCCCCACCCTTCCCACTTTCCCTACACCTTTAGCCCTTTACTTCCTCTTTTACATTATTAATTCTCTCATTAGGATCCTGTGTACTATTATAGTTTTTCACACCAAAGAAACTATTCGGTATTTCAGTTAAAGAAATCTCTGTATGAACATTAAAAATAGGGAATCCTAAAATAAAACTAAAAAGGAAAGTAAAAGAGAAAAGGCAATGATGTAACATTAGAATAATCCTTAATTCTGGAGATGAAAATGTTCCCTGAACATATTTAAATTGCTTCTTGCTCTTGTAGTCTTATCTTATTCTTTTTTTCATTATTTAGAGAATACTTTATTAGTTTCTGTAGTCAAACTCACGTAGATATGACCTTACATATTGAGTACAATGCATTACCCCTGTACACTTGGAATAAAAAATATTAAAAATAAAAATAAAAAAATTAGCATTTCTAGACCAATATGGCTGTCCATTTCTGTACAATGCCAAGTCAACACAGTAAATTGGGATAACTTTTTCCAAAGTTGACAGCACCGTTAAAGTTTCCCAAAATTCAGTTTATAAATATGTTTATATATATTTATATGTATATAAAGAGACTAATAATAGCAGTATGTTATGCATCGATAGCAGCAACAGCTTTTCCAGGTTCTGCAGTCATCTGAACAAAATTATAGACGTTCAGCACACTCCATTAGAAAAAACAAAACAAAACAAAAAAACAAAGAAAAGAATAATATCCAGAAAACAGCAAAGTTCTGTTGCTGTTGTGGTACCTGGCACCATTTTTTTTATTAGCATCTTAATCATCATCTGGAAAGAGAACATTTCTAGAGTAATATCATTAAATGTAGCCTCTGATAAAGCATGGTCCCT